GAAATCTATTCATATTTTCTGTTTTACAAGTGTACCTTATTATAACAAGACCGACTGTGATTTATTTGAGAAAAAGTCCTAAGCTAACCTGGAGAAGATTATCGATAAGCCTAGAAATTACCCTTAATTTAAACTCCAACAACTTTTTAGTTCAATGAACGTCAGATTGAGATACTAAATCCATTTCCCGACAATCGCAAGACCAAAGAAAATGAGATGAACATAATATAGCAATATTATTTATATATAATAACAATGTTTACATTGAAAGAAATATAAATTCTATTTTAATTTTTTTATTAACAAGTATTATGTTGATTATAAATAAATTTCACATATAAAAATAATATCAATGGCAAAAACAAAATTACCTGCTTTTTTGTAATTATATATATGTACTTAAAAGAAATGAAAATTTTTACTGGAACTATGCTATGGGTGAGGTGAGTTTCATTATACATATTTAGTATAGTATAATATGTATATCCTGAAACAAAGGATCCAATTATGGCTGAAAATATTAGAACAAAAATTCTCACAACAAACATAATCTGTTAATCTGATCAGTGATATGTCGTATATAATGTATATAAAATCTTTGGAATATGTTTTTGAGGTACAACTAATATTTTCTACAATTTTAAGATTTTGAATATTTTATGAACACATTTAGAATATATAAAATTACTTAAATCTAAATTAAAGGTAAAATTTGAAAAAAGTTAATACAAGAATCTATAAATATTGAAAGAAGGTTTATTGCATATTTGTTGAAATTAACTCTTGATCTGAAAATATAGCAGAACACAGAACATAAAGGTACACATATTTATATATATACAATAATTTAAAAAAATATATATGTAAAAGTTATATGGCATATACGAGTATTTATATATATGTATATTAATATCTGAACTACCCCTAGCATTTTGATTGCGAATTTAGTTTTATACATCCTTCCCATATAATTTTAGATTATTTTTAAAAAGATAATATACTTACATATTTACTTTCTCAAACTATCGCGTATCCATTAGACTTCAAAATCCAGATATGACATTGTGTAACTATCGAACTTAAGAGCACATTTTTATTACTACTGTATTATATGTCCATTCAGTTTTTCAGAATACAGCTTAGATGGCACCTAAGATTTATTGTCTATTATATATTATATTAATAGATCGAAAATGTGAATTTAAATTACACGAGCATTTAATAAAATTATTATATATAATAATGTATGCAATTTGTACTTTTACACCTCTTGAAGTCATTTTTATGCCCACATATCCCATTGACTAAATTTCTTTGATATATTAATTAGTTTAAGATTATATCATTTTGAATATTATTATTATCTAGAATATTATTATTATTAAAAGGGATCGTGCACTGCGACCTTTATATATCTATTGTGCCCCTTAGTCGGATTAGAGTGTTTCTCCAAGTCCGATTTATTGAAAGACAGTATGAAGCCTACCTTATGATGCATGAAATACCCTCCTAGGTGTTTTTTCCGCTTGTGCATCAGTGCCGGGCACTCCCCAAGCACATGGTATGCAGTTTCTCTCTATTCTCTGCAGTATCTACAGTCTCAGTTGGATTGAATCCCTAACGTCGATAGGTGATTATCCAATCTACAGTGATCGGTCAATAACCCGTCGTTATTCTTAGAATAAGAATAAGTTTAATTCCAAATTTATTATCACCATCAATCGTTCCTCACACCCCCATATATTTCGGATGCCATTGTATTTATCAAGGGTTTTATACTTTTAGGCTCACAAAATTAGTGAGACCCAATTTCGAATAATTACAATAATAATGAGTTAAAGTGAACATAGCAAAAAAATTAAGTGAATTTTGATACAAACCCTGAAATTGAAACCTTTAGTATGCTGCACCAAGATTTATTTAGGATTCCAAATGCAGAAAATGACATTGCATTAATCTATTAATATTATTCGCGTAATATTACATTTTTTACGTTATTTCAATAAAAACATTTTTAGTCCCCGATTCTTTTACTTTTCTTTTATTTTGATACTGCATTGTTTACAAGAGTTTAACTCTTGATTTCGTTAGGTCACATACTTTCTGTTTAGCTTCTAAAATAGATGGAATTTATATTAATACCTACTATTGTTTGGGTATCTGAGATGAATCTTTACGGTTATTTAAAATGTCCATATAACATTACCAGTTTCATCGGCGGATAATAGATTCTTCAATGATGTACTGTTATAATTTTATAACTTTTGAACGAATAGAGACGGTATGATTGGTTCTGAAGAGACAGAATATTTTTTTTAAAGTGCTGGCTAATAACACCAAAATCAAAGAGAAATAACTGACGAAGATCAACAAGAGGAAAAAGCAGTGAACATGAGCAAATGCTAGCCTACAGCACTAAAAACGAAAAAAACACTGTTATACTTAAAAAGTATGTTTTTTTATACTGTTTCTGTTTATTGTCACGAATGCATGTTATGCAGAGAGTCAATCCAACTGCTGGCACTATTTTATTGGATTTTAATTGTGCTTAAATTTAAAAGAAAATAATGTTGGCAGGGATATTTACACAAGAATATGCGTATTTGTAACAATATGGACAAATTATAAGATTTATAATAACCATCGTCCGGAGATACAGTCTTCCTTTCTTCCCGAAATCAAAGTTTAGACAGAAAAATAATAAGCGAAGTTAGACTCGAAAATTTCTTGAAAATTCATTCAGTGCACAGTAAGAAAATGTTTAAGTTTGATTGGAATTGAATACGACTTCCAACTTTTCATATTCCACAGATATGTTAATTATTAATTAATGAAAAAAAAAAACAAACACCAAAAATTAAGAATTTGTTTAATTTTACTTAACACATCCAAAAATTTTAATAAAGTACGAGTATCTAAACTTTATTACGAATACACGAGTTAGCACATCGATATCATATACCATATATCATATAATCTGCCTGGCAACGTCTGCACTAGATGAGGTGCAGAGCTGTGGGCATTAAAATAGTTTTATGACAAGAATGTTTGTGATAATCAAAATACAATTTATATTAGATATAATACTGTATACCAAAATGTTATAGATGTATAAAACTAAAGTCGCAATCCTTTTGTTTAAAGCAGAAAAAATAATAACTGCTTATTACAGATTAATATTTATATTAAAAAATAAAAAATAAATAAAAAGAAAGAAATTTGTGTAAAATAAAATAAAAAATATAGTAAAATTACATTTATTGTGATATGGAAGCGTTGGATTGGAAGTGAAAGGAAGCCTTCATCACAGCCTGAAACTGTTCAGTCCATTCGACTGGTTGAAACCTGCATATTTTTAAAATACATATTTTGTATCTATGTATACATGTTTGTATAAAAATCAGTAGGAATATGTAACGCATACGGTTGGTAGTGCGAAAAACTACGAAATACAAAAATATAATTAAATGATTTATATATACGTATATATATATAATATAAAAAGTTTATATATGTACACTTAAGCTGATTAATATGTTTATATTGTATATGCATTTCGAATCAGTAAATAACAATTATATGGCGTTATATAAACTAGAGAATATATGTATGTAAAAAATTTTAATATCTACAATTATGTGTGATACGTACCAAATGTGGAACTAATATCTAACAACTTCGAGAATGGGAACTTGGCGCAAACCCCAATAGCAGTAAGACAAGTAATAAATCTGGCTCAAAGTGCTGAAAGATATATTAGCACAAAATAAAAATAAAAAACAAACAAATTTCATATATTAAAAATATATGAAATTCTATTTTACTATTTAATTTTTTTTTTCATTTTTAATATTTATTTAAATGTATTATTTCGTAATTAAGTATTTACCTACAAACAATTTATATAAATATTGTATGTGTTTCCTATAAATTATTTATATTATTTTGTTAGTTTTATTCGTGTATTATTAATGGTGAGGGTCATATAAAAAATGTTGCAACATTTTATAGAGACAATAAGTATTTTTACATAAAAATTTTTTATATATTGCATTATATTATTATTAAAAACATTTATTTTCTTGCGTCAATACGTAACTTAAAGGCTATAATAAAAAAGTTCATATGCAAATTTTATTAAAATTATATATCAAATGGCAAAACCTTCTTATATATTATTTATTTTTAAAAAAATTTAAAAACAGAAATAAAACACTAAGCTTACATTTTGGAAAACTCATCTTACCACACGCACCAAACGCTCATAATCTTAAACCTTTGAATTTCGGTTAGGGCTCTAAGTCAGCAACGAAGCTGGAAAATATAAATGCTGATAAAATATTGAATATTTTAAGTTTGTAACCATGTGGCATTAATTACACCGCAGAAATTATTTTAATATATTTATGCAATTATTTTTTAAGTTTTATAGATATTTATATAGAACATATTTCGAAAAATTTATATATGTCATTGGTGCATTTAATTAGAATACACTCACTAATCGTACTAACACAGAAGCTTACCGTAGCCGATATGTCTGTTTGATCCTTGGCTATGATGGAATTATATCCAAATTTAGCTGAACATTTGTACCAAATGATGTTAGGTAAGTTTGCAGGTAAATTTTCGTTTCGACACACTAAAATCTCATACTGTTTGACATACTACATTGAATAAAAACTCTTCCATCTTAAAATATATTCAACTAAGACGATATACCAAATACGATGAAAAATCTTCTTCAGTAAAAATTTGAAATTAAAAAATTACATCTATCCTCACAAAAAAAATTTAATTCATAGACATATTAATAAACCAATATGGAACATACGATCTATAACTATGGAAATCTCCGCCAAAATCAGACAAGGAAAGAATCTAATCATGCCCACAATACAATTACACCACAGCATGTCACGAATGACTGAGTACATTGTGATCAACACTACGAAATACTGTAGGAATTTTACAGTTCTAATGACAGATAAGTAAATCGTGTGTAAGGAATTTACCGGTCTAATGAAAGATATCTAAACCCTATATATAAATATTATTTACGGCAGTTATATTACTACTTATGTCTCATCCATTAATCAACTTTATCTGCAGGCAGTTATGAAATTTCATTTGTAAGATTCATTCGCTTATCTTAAAAACAAAAAACCAGACATAGTTATATAGATAACTAATTGAATATATACAGTTTACGGTATGAGGTATGATTTTTTAATTGCAAGCATTTTACCGGATCCAATATATATATATATATTGGACCCTTGATAATTGCAGTCTTAAAAAATTATTCATGAAAAAGTATTTCAAAAAAGACCACTAATGATAGGTAATTGGC